AAAAAAAAAAAAAAAAAAAGATATTCCAGTGGAAATGTTGGGTGGAACAGCTGGACATAGGAATTTAAAGCACTAAAAGAGAGGTCTGGACTGGAGATACAAATTTGGGAATCAGCAGCATACAGATGGTATTTAAAGCCAATGAACTAAATGAGATTACCAAGGAAGTGAATAAAAATAAGCAGTCTGGGAACTGGGCCCTGGACCATTCCAAATGTCAGAGATCCAGAAGATGAAAAGCAGTCAGTGAAAGGGATTGAGTTAGAGCAGCCAGTGAAGTTACAGCAAAACCCAGAGGAGTGAGATATCCTGAAAGCCAAGTGAAAAAAGTATACCAAGGTGGTGGGAGTAATTAATTAAATCAAATTTTGCTATTAGTTCAGGTAAGCTGTTCAACAGACATCACTGGCGACTTGCAGGAACGGTTTCAGAGGAATGGTGGAGAAAGGATGGCTGGAGTGAGTTTAAGAGAGAACGGGAGGGGTACAAGAAAACAGGCATAGACACTCCCTTCAGCAATGATATTATAAAGGGAAGCAGAGAAATCAGGGTATAGCCAGAGTGGGATGAAGGGTCAAGAGATGGTTTTCTCCCCCAAACATAGAAGAAATACCAGTATAAATGTTTTATACTGATGGGAATGATTTAGTAGACAGGCAGAAACTGAGCCAGTAAAGGGCAAGGGGACAACTTACAGAAGCAATAAACATGAATATATGAAAAGCTATTAACCTAATACACACAAATCCAGTGACAGTAAGAGCACCAGCTTAACCTCTTTGAAATATTTTCTACTTCACAAAATAATTTTATAATACTTTCACTTCTTTTTATCCTTATAATAATCCTCTAATGTAGGTTCTGACCCCACTTATTTATAGAAAAGCAAAATGCAGCTCAGATGTCAGGTAACTTGGCCAGGTATGGTGGCTCATACCTGTAATCCCAGCACTTTGGGAGGCCGAGGTGGAAGATAACATGAGCCCCGGAGTTCAAGACCAGCCTGGGCAACATGGTGAGACCCTGCTTCTACAAAAAAAATTTTTTTTAAATTATCAGGGTGCAGTAGTGCACACCTGTAGCCCTAGCTATTCAGGAGACTGAGATAGGAGAATCACTTGAGCACAGGAGTTTGAGGTTGTAGTGAGCTACGATCGTGCCACTGCACTCCAGCCTGAGTGACAGAGCAAGACCCCATCTCAAAAATAAACAACTAAATGAATGAATGAATGACAGGTAACTTGGCCAAAGTTACACTGCTTTTAAGAAGCAAAGGCAAATACAAACCTAAGTCTGCTGACTCCAAATTCCTTATTATACCTACATTAGTGTATGGTTTAGAATGGAAATATACTGAAGAAACTTTCCTTATCCATTAATTTAGCATCTTATTTTAACAAATGTTATCAAAACTACACTTTGAAACATGTCTTAGAAGGATACTGCTCTGTACATTTAACTGCAATTATTTTAAAAACAATGTTACCACTAGCAATATGACAGTGACAATAATTTAGTTGTTATTAAAACAATGTTCATGGATTTTCTCTAATTTTGAAAAGATGCCAATGGTGGGAGTTCAAAACATGCCACCCCAAATTATGCCTCTTTCGCATAAGGATTATTTTGAGCTGATTATGTTGGGAAATAGCAAACACAGGAGAATATAGAGAAGTTACCCTTTCATAAGAAAAATTTATCTGTAACGGAAATCTCCACTTCTAAGGGTTTCTCCACTCTGTACTAGGAAAAGAATGACTCCACATCACCAGATTTGTTATCAATCTGCATAACAAACCTTACCTTTGTTTAGGGTGCCTTTCCTGGTCATCTCATCACAACTGGGTCTCCCCCCACCATCCTTCTTTCTTTGTATCAGTGGATGGTATTTAAGCCACTCCTCAGAGATTTACTCCTTTCTCATGAGTATCTCCCATGTGTATATGAGGTGTACATGTGATTAAACTTCTGTTTTTCTCTTGTTAATCTGTCTTTTGTTACAGGGCTCTATCCCAGCTAAGAACTATGAAGGGTAGTAAGAAAATTCTTCTTCCTTCCCTAAACCATGTTCTTCAGAAAAACTCTGAGAAATACAGAAAATTTAAAACTAAAATTCAACCATAATACCACCTAACCACCTCAGCAGACACCACAATTTCTTCCCAGGAAAATGTTTTTAAATAAGGTATCTTATACCTACTTTTCTACCCAATGATGGTTCCCAAACTCTACTGAGAGAATATATACTCTTGGGCATTTATAATTGAGACAAGTAAGTGTGTCAGCAAAGATAATCAACTATACTTCTGGCATCAAAGGAACATATGAAGCAATCAGAGTTGTACATCTAACACGCTTAACACATTTTTTTTTCATTTTTATATTTCTTACCTGGTTATTTTCTTCATCCTCACATACAAAATCTTGCTGCATAACTTCATTGTCTAAATTAGTGCTAGCCACAGGTTCTGAACAGTCTCTGTTACTTTCACTGGCATTAATAATATCATCAGCAATATCAACCCTAGTAATGAAGATTAAAAACTCGGATCAGGCCAAATGTTGAATATCTAATGCCTTTAAAATAAATAAATAGCGATAATGATCTGAAACTTTCACTTGTTAAAGAAAATGTGTCCTTTTCATAAAAATCCACACTTTTTTTTTCTTGCTAAACAAATTATTAAATCTGCTAAGTGTTCGTCTCTTCTTGGGATATTGTGAGGGGCTTTGTTTATAATCCCCCTGATGATTTTCATAAGCTAATGAATGGTTTTTAAAATAATTTATGTGCCAAAGTAACGATTTTCCTTACAACTGCACACTCCCACATAATAATGACCTATGTGTCCTGATTAAATACAAGTCTAGTACCAGACATCATAGTATCCAACACCTTATCAAGTACAACAGAAATAGCTTCCTACTACAGATTTTCCATCTTACATACTTTAGAATATGCAAAACATGGCAATTTTTGTTTACAAAAATGATACCACTACTGACAGAACATAAGTTATTTCCTAAGTGGTGAAAACAAGAATATTGCCCAAGCAATGGGCATAGGTTTTCAGGATCCCTAGCCAAGATAAGGACAAACTCCAAGGAATCTGCTTGCTTTATATCCTTTGAAACATTTTCCCACTATTCCAACTTTTACATACTGCTTTTTCCCTTCATATTCTACGCGAATACTTCCTACAGATCTAGTTGTATAAGTTCTAATCATGCCTTTAAAGCACACGAACCAGATCAGACAGAGCTCAGTGACTCGCAGTGCCACCCACAGCACACGTGCAGTAAACATTTCGACCACTGGTTTTCATATCCATTAATATTTTTCAGCTTCATTTCATATTTAACAGCTATTCTAGTTAGTTAGCCCTCTTAAAATATCTTTAAAAAAAAAAAAACAAAACTCTGCCTAATCATCTATTTTTTTACCTTCCTGTAAATCTTCCAAATTTGAGTACATCCTTTTCAAATCTGTCCCCAAAATAAAAACTGACATAAGAAAAATATGAAATCATTACACTGTAGTCTCTGAAGGAGGCACACATATATCCTAAAGCGCGGGGTTGGGGTAACAAGAAAGGAAGTGAGATTTTCCTCCACTTAAAGGTAACAGGTCAGTGCTCGCTTCGGCAGCACATATACTAAAATTGGAATGATACACAGAAGATTAGTATGGCCCCTGTGCAAGGATGACACGCAAATTCGTGAAGCGTTCCATATTTAAAAAAAAAAAAATGGTAACAGGTCAGATGAAGAGTGAAGTAACATCACACATTACAGGTACTTTTAACTTACACAAATTCAACTATAGGCTGAATATCCTTTATCTGAAACGCTTGGAACCAGAAGTTTCAGATTTCAGATTTTTTTCAGATTTTGGAATATTTGCATTATACCTGCCAGTTGAGCATCCCTAATCTGAAAATCCAAAATTTGAAATACTCCAATGAGCACTTCTTTTGAGTATCATGTCAGGGGTCAAAAAGTTTTGGATTTTCAGATTAGGGATGCTCAACCTGTATTAACAACAAACATAACAAAACACGTGAGGAGGGGAAAGGCTGGTGGCAGGGGATGACAACAGCAAAAGATGATTCTGCCCACCATTTCACTCAATGACCACACGCACTAGACTGATGTCAATCTGTTGTCCCTGTATCTGTATGTCTAGATCAGTGCATGCCCCTCATAGTATGACCATCTCTTGCACAGGGTATGAGTCTAATTTTTAAAAATTATTTTTCAAACAACATAATCCATAAAAGTAAACTCATTACTTCATTTGGTGTTCAAGAAGGAAAACCTGGCTGTCTTGGACTTAATAAAAGATACTTTATAAGTCACTTTTCATACTGACTTTCAACAATCCCCAAGACAGACAAGACCCCATTATTTAAGTAAAAATACATTTTTTAAAAATAACAAAACAGTTTTATAATAAATAACAGTAAAATCATTCTTACTGGTTATTAGATCCTTCCCCATCACAATTAATACTTCCTGCTTCATTATTACACACCAGACTTTGCTGCTGTAAATTCTTAAGATCGTGATCTATGCTGCTCTGCAGATCAAAAAGGTGCTGTTCCACAGCTGCTCTAATTGTTCTTTCTAAAATACTACATAACAGAACACATTTTAGTGGGAAGCAGTCACTCTAACTGGATAGAAGGCCACATAAACATAAATGTTAAAACCTATACCAGTAAAACAAATATTATGGCATTTAAATGGGTAAACCAAAATGTAAAAAGAAATACATGACACTGGCTTAAATTTTAAGGTAAAATTTACCCAAATAGATGATCCTATACAAATCAACCATAATGTCACAATTATGACTGCGGTAGAAAGAACACCTGTCCCAATAATTCATTTCTCACAATATAGAAAGCCATTTAAATAGGTAAGACTTTTCAAAGCTTCATTTATAAAGCAAAATAATTTATCAACACTCAGCAGAATAAAAGAAACTATAATATTGCTCATATTTCCTACGTGAAGCCTACTTTATAAAGAAAATTTAAAGCTCTGTTGACATTTTTCAATTATTTCAGAGGATCGAAAAAATCATCCAAAGAAAACTCATCTTGGCTGGGCTTGGTGGCTCACGCCTGTAATCCTAGCACTCTAGGAGGCTGAGGCGGGAGGATCACTGGGGTCAGAGTTCGAGACCAGCCTGAGCAAGAGCGAGACCCCGTCTTTACTCAAAATAGAAAGAAATTAGCCGGACAACTAAAAATATATAGAAAAAATTAGCCGGGCATGGTGGCACATGCTTGTAGTCCCAGCTACTGGGGAGGCTGAGGCAGTAGGATTGCTTGAGCCCAGGAGTTTGAGGTTGCTGTGAGCTAGGCTGGCGCCACGGCACTCTAGCCCAGGCAACAGAGCCAGACTCTGTCTCAAAAAAAACTAGTTTACTGCCTATGTACAATCTTTCCTCTAAAGTGAACATAATAAATACATGATTTTCATTTCTACAATTTAGTAATATTTTAAAATCTTAAAAATTTGTCTTCTATAAGTATACTACTTACTCCGCAGAGGCTGGAGGGATGCTGATGGGAGCTTTATGGGCACTGTAATCAAAGAAAGAAATTAGCTATAAAATTTTCAATACTAAATGACCACAAATGTGCTGGAAACTGCCCCATTTGCATTACTGACACAACCAGAAAAGCATGCACTAAGTTTCATGTTTTTAGTTATATAACAGGTTGGAAATATTTTCTGAATCTGGTTGGTAAAGGTTTCAAATATTAACCAAAGAAAATAAAGTTCAGAAAACATACCACTAACGAGACCAAAATAAAAAAAGTCAGTATTCATGTAATATTCACTATGGGCTAGAAGCCTGACATGTACTTATCTCATTTAATAATTTTCAGTATCCTAGGAGTTACAATTATTTCCCCCTTTCCACAAAAACGATGATTGAAGATGTTAATTAACTTGCCCAAATGCACAAAGCCCTACTGTCTTCTAAAACTAAAAAAACAAAACAAAAAACCTGAAAACAAAAATACACACAGCATAGCATGGACATCTCTAACAGAGTATCAGTTTAATTTTCTTTTTTTTTTGGAGACAGAGTCTTGCTCTGTTGCCTGTGCTAGAGTGTGGTGGCATCATCTGCAGCCTCCAACTCCTGGGTTCAAGCGATCCTCCTGCCTCCACCTCCCAAAGTAATGGGATTACAGGTGTGAGCCACCACACCCAGTCTGAGTCTACATTTTTTTAACAAGCACTATTGATGATTCTTAACTGACATACTAGTAAGTTTGAGAAACAATGGCCTAGATCTATATCTAGCCTCCAAAAAGAATAAAGTTTAATAAGATTACCAGTTCCAAAAAGAGGTAAAAGTTCTGATGGTCTTAAATTGGGTAGATAGGCAGTATAGTTGGGTTGTTTTTTTGTTTTTTTTTTTTTTTTGCTTCCTATCCATTTTAATTGCTACTGAAATACAAATGCATATATAAAATAGTAATCAGCAAGCTGGATTATTAGTGCAACGTAAAGATTCTTTAGCCCCGAAGAATATGCTGGAACAATCAAATAAATAGCTCCTTTAATAAGGAATCTCCCACACAGCCACAGTAAACAAATCAAATAGATTTTTGTTCTTTAAGAATCAGATTGTCAGCCACAAGGCTATACACAAAATTGATTTTACAACTTTGTCCTCTGAACTTCTGAGGGACAAAGGACTGATTTAGTTTTCAGATTTCACAGATTTTAATTGTTGTTTATTTTCAGACTTTAGTCAAATTCTGTGGATAAAAAGCCCTCAGGTATAAACCAGGACTTACACCTATGGATATAAAAAAGATTTATCAACATAGCTATGTGTATGTAGCTAAACTGCATAGCTATCATAAGGTTGAGTTCTAATTAAGAAAGATATTACACAAGACAAATAATTGCTGATACACTGCAGTTCAAACTACTTAGGTACTATAGGCAGATGCCATAAAGACCACCCAAAAATATTAATTATGTTCATTAAACCCCCAGACAAGGAAGACTAGACTAACAGAATGAACATTAAATCACAAGGGACAAACATATTTTAAAGTTGTCAGTCAAGTATAACATTAAAGACTGTAGTCATTCCCTGACCTTTTATCCCTTCTGCTATTAATTCTATTTTTAAATGTGCCACAATCACATATTCTTGAGAGCATAAGATCAATTTTGTACACACTTATTCCAATTACCAATTTTTTATAATTCAAATAAAATGATCACAGGGAACTACTATTATAATTTCCCAGTTGCAAATATTTAATGCTACAAACAATATTTCAATAAATGTACTGCACAGTTCAGCCTCAATTAAATCTGATAAGGATCACTTTACCTGTGCAACACATTTGCAAGTCATTCTGAATACCCTGGCATCTCCCAACAAAAGTATCAAGTAAAGAGATTTCACTTCAAACACAGTAAAGGATGGTGATGGGCTTATAAAAACTGGTGAGCAATTTCAGTGCCGAGTCCCCCCAAATACAGCCAAGCCTGCTACACTTTACAGTTTAAACAGAAGCACACTGCAACATCAGGTTACTACTGACAAGGAGGTACGCCAATCAACAGTCCACAATTTTCTTCTTTAGAACTTTACAACTTTTCAGGAGGTGGGGAAAAGAGGACAAAATTTTGAATTTGGCTAGAATACCTACAAAAATGAGCTTAAGCCTAACCCAATATAAGCAGAGAAACCAATCTATTTGTTTTCATTAGTCATACTACTATATCCAGGGGTATAAAAATTATTACAAATACGAAATTGCTCAAACAGATCTAAAATAGAGTATGATTATTCAGTTACCCAATTTCAGAAAAGCATTAATGGTTAATTTTTCAAATCTAAAAACTGGATGACTTCCAGATAAGTCGGGCCAGAACCATACCAAAATCACCATTTAAAAGCTATGGTTCCAAAAAATAAACATATAAAACAAAACCAAAAATCACATATCCCTTTAAAACCAAAAGTGAAAATCCTTCCCTCACTTTTCCCATCAATTTGGAAGTACTCTATACCTATGACAAGAGTACACTGAAAGATTTTTCACTATTACAAAGTTAGTCAAAAAGCTGATGTATAACAAGTCTTTAAAATATCAAATGCACCATTTATAGGATGGGGGAAAGAGAACCCATCAATATTCATCATGTGCCAGTTCTTAAAAATTGTTTTACTCTAATAAAACTCTCTTATGACCCAGAGTATAAATTCTATTTTTTTCATCCAACATTTCTGATACTCCCACCAAAGTACTCCTGCCTCCTTTTTACACTCTTAAGTGGAACCTGGATGTGAAAATATGAACTGATAAAATTCGTCAAATGAAATATTTTGCAAACTATCTAATCCAATGGATGAGAGAAAAGAAAAAACACACTACAACACTATAGTTCTCATACCTTTCTAGTCAGCTGAAGGCACATTTTTCTCAACAAGGCATTTACAAAATGAATGGAGACCAATCTTAAAACCCTAAACTCAGAGCTCTTCCTAAATCACTTACACCCGCTTTTCTGTACTTCATCTAAAACTGATCTATCAGAAACCAATGAACTTACAAGAATGAAGCCCTAGCATTAACAACACAGAGAATATAAATTTTTCATTCTTTCTAAATTCTAAGCTTTACCAAGGCATCAGAAGCACAACTTTAAATAAACTTTATAATGTGAAATAATTGTTTTTTGATTTGTAGTTCTGCAAACATGAGCACAAATTAAAAATCACCTAAACCGCAAGCCAAAATAAATCTTTTAATACAGCCTAGGAAAAAGAATATAAAGCACAGGGGGAAAAGTTAAGAACTCTTTTAGAACTCTCCCACCTCTCTTTACATTTTTTAAATATACGGTTTCTCTAAAATTTGTACATTTAAATACAAAGCTAAATGACAAGTATGTGAATATAAAGCAACAATTTAGAAATAATCTTGAAATTTCCATGGAATTCACAGATAAAACTAAACGTCAGGATCAATCACCCAAAATTACTGCTTTTTCATGTGCTCTAGGCTTCTCAAACCCAAACCCCACCATTTTGCCCACTCTGAACACAGCTTAAATCTTAACAAAATGTAGCTAATGGCAAACAACAGATTCATGAATAGACCAATCAATACAACTTGTGCAAAAATATTTAAACCAC